GGGGGGGGGGGGGGGGAGAGAACGAGAGAGGAACCACGCGTGTGCCTAAATAACGGCAATTTATGTCTCTTGTATACGCGGTTGCCACTTTACGTTGCAAATTATTCATTTTCTCTGCTGTAACAACCATTTTATCTAATGTATTAGCGACATTGCGCGCCAATGTTAAATATTTAATCTAATATATATGGGCCGACGTGCACCGTGCACTGCTATTTTAAAATTCTCGTAGTCGGTAATATTGCCGAGCATAAAATACGTAAAAGGCAATATATATGTACGTGTATATATGTATGTATGTATGTATGTATGTATGTATGTATGTATGTATGTATGTATATATATATATACACATATATATATATATACACATATATACATACATATATATATATATATATATATATATAGATATATATACGTATACAAGGTATAAACTTTAATAGTATATTTTATGAGCTGAAATAAGAAAAATTATGTAAAGAAATATTATGTAAACATAGGTCCCGAAACATTTTATTAAAAAAGTTATAGCAAAAATATGAAATGTAAGGAATAATTTTTCACCTCAGTTTACATTTAAATGTGTCGTCCGCGCCCATGTTAATACAAGTTTGGCATAAATGTAATATTGAATTTATTATCCTGGAAATTCCGTGTCTATTTTGCATAATCTCTGCAGTTGTGTCGCTAATTCTTTGTATCAGTTTATCTCTTAATGTGTCTCGTATTCGATAAACTTTATTTTTCATTTTTTCCCACAGATAGAAGTCTAACGCTGAAAGATCTGGTGATCTTGGAGTTCAATCATACATTTCATATTTTTACTGTAACTTTTTAATAAAACGTTTTGGGACCTATGTTTATATAACATTTTTTCTTATTTCAGCTCATAGAACATACTATTAAAATTTGTACAGAAAAATCTAGTATATATATACATCCTGTATATATATTTTTCTCCGTTTAATAAATAATACAAAATTTATAAGTGTTAATATTTAGGAAAATCAGTTCGAATTGCGTACGTATATTGTATGTATATATTATGTACGCGATATGTACAGAGCTCGCAACACACGGCGGCTCAGGTGCACCTTTAGGTGCCTTTTTGTTGCTCAAATGCGGCCGCGCATTTTCGCTCTCGCGTAAAAATTCTTATAAAATATCTCTCTCTCTCTCTCTATGTCCCTCCCTCCTTCTCTCTTTCTGTCCCCTCTCGGGCGTAGATTAAAATTGTAAGAATCGCGGTCGGTCGATGGCGTCTTCCCCACCCAGAGTTGGGTTCCTTCGGCTCGGACGGCTCGTAAACTAGCAGCCTCGTGTTTTGCAGGGACATTCGTCAGTATCCGCAATTTTCGTAAAAGCGTCACGGCCGCGCACCAATTGACGGCGAATCTCGCGAAACACACGTCATGTTGGATATGATTCTATATATCGATGATCTTCAATCGTAGCGGCGCCTTCAGCGTATTTATGAATTTGCTTGTGTACGTCATCGGTTCATGATGCCATTCTAGCCGGAAATTCCGCACGACCTAGATAAAATAAATGAATTTTTACATTCCTTCTTGTTCGCAGCGCACGCGTGTGCGATGCGCGTGTGTTAGTGGCTTTTCCGCGCAAGAGCTATTCCAAAAAACAGATTTAATCGAAACGTGCGATCCCTGAAACTCGTAATTCTCGCTAGTAAATCGACAAATTGAGATGTCCTTTTTCATTTGCGCATCCGCAAAAATGTAATCTCATCCTCAGCAGAATCCTCTTACAAATGGCTCCAATTCTTGTAAAAGCAACAAGAAGATATTTTAAGTGCAATATTCTTGAAGTTGGAGGAATTTTCGTTTTTTAATCTAAAGTGCAAGTCTCGTTCTCAATAGAAGTTTCTTTTAGTAAGAAGGATCAAGTAAACGTTTCTTCAACTTGATTCGAAAGGAAAAAAAAGTTAAAATATCTCATAGATTTCCGATTAATAGTCTACTTCGTTAGAAAAGAAGTACACTCTTAGCAAAAGTTCTCGCTTAGAATTCTTAAATCGCAGGAAACATCACCTTGCAACTTGAGAGTTCCTTGTTTTAGAGATGTTAGAATATTTTTCTTTTGTTTCTAGAAAGAATCTCCTCTTGAGGCCAATACACAAGAGGGTTTCGCTAAGGATGCGATTATATATTATATATAATTTCTTTTTAGTTCTTCATTGAACCTGAAAAATGATAGTTCATTTCGCGAGGCGCGATAAAGATTTTGGCGCTAATGCAGACGTAGTCAGATAGTTGAATACGTACGAAAGATATATACGAAGACAAATGCCCGCAGATATTAACCGGAACGAAAAGTGGTCATCTCCGTTTAATCTTCATTAAACTGTCGAGGCGAGTTACGGAATCGCATGTTCTTCGATTTTTCTTTTTTTTTTGCGAGGAGAGTAACGGCGCCGACAAGAGTTAGTGAGAATATTTAGTCCTTCGGGAATTCATACTTGAGTGCGCAGATCGTTATTTTGTCGTCATGCACAGTCATGCATGATCGTTCTAAGGGAAGTACATTATGCGAGCACACAGTTCGTTTCTGTTATTATCTTAGCACGCGATATACTTTCATTTAAACCTCTCAGCTTATTAAACATCGTCGCTTAGCATGCATGAATAAAATATCAGGCGCGAGGTGTAGGAGGGATGGGAGAGGAGGAAGAAAATCGTAGAATCTTCCGTGTGCGAGACGTACGAGCGGATTGAGAGCAAACCAGCGAAAATCGGTTTTCCGCGCTACATCCATTTAAGTACGTTTATATTCGCATCGGAGATACCCCCGTGCGGACATGTACATATGTGAATGTGTGTGCGTGGGAATCCGCGGACAAGTGGAACGCGATAAAATTAACGGAATATATTCGTTATCCGCAATAACTCCCGTTTCATTTCCCGATGAATTTTCAAATGCTGTAACAGGAAAAAATCAAGTGTCTGGTACGAAAGATAAATGAAGAGTGGCAAAAAATAAAAAAATATTAAAAATAAAAAAGAAGAAATTCTAAGAAAATAAGAAAGAAGTTAAATAAATCAGGAAAATGACTTTGCAAATGTGTTAACACATGGAGAGAATATTGTAGTTTCTTTTTTTTCCATTTAAATTCTTTTCAAATTTACTATGTTTCTAGTAATGCAGAAATAGACTATCACTAAGATCTTTTTGATCTCACCAAAAAACAAAGTAAATTTTATTAGAAACATGGCAAATTTAATAGCACATTTTCCTTCTTGAGACATAAATATTATATATAAAATGAAAAGATGATAGTCAATTACTGCAGAATGTCAATCTATTGACGGCAAAAAATTGTTATGGTAATTTACACGAAGAATTCTCTCCATGCATGCGGGAGCGACGGATTCGCTGACTGTTTGGCGATTGGACTTTGCGTAAAACCTCGTCTAATCAGTTAAAGTACTCAAGTGTACCACTCGACTCTCTTGCCCGAACTTGTACCGTACGGATTCCAATTTGCTCGGGTCGCTAGAAATCGCGAAGATTAAGCGACTCCCGATGGCGTTGTCAATCCCCTGATCAAAGACGCGTTATCTCGAACGGGATCTGCGTTATCGTAATTCGATGGAGCGGATCCCGCGAGCGATCAGGCAGTGCGCGGATAAACAGGAGGGAAAGTTTACGAACCGTCATAAGCAACGTCTCGAGCTCCATCTCGGCGAATCTTCGGCCGATGCAGGTGCGAGGGCCGAATCCGAAAGGCATGTACGAGAAGGGATGCGCGGCCTTGGCTGATGGGAACTCCGTGTTGCCCCGCAACCATCTCTCGGGAATGAACTCCTGCGGTCGCGGGTAGTACGCCGGATCCAACGCGGCCACTGAGTGACAAGCTATGACGTCAACCTGACGACAGCAGGCGGGGAGATCATTTAAAATGCGTTCGTTTTATCTCGCGCCCGTAACTCTATCTGGGACGGTGTCACTGATTTTTTTCTCGCCAAGTTATTATGTAATTACTGATTAAAATCCCAATTACTCATTAGCTAATTAATGTTCGTCGAGCGCATCGATAAGAATGTATACACGCGAACATGGAAAATTAATTAGTTCGTCGATGTTAAAGTACACATACCAGTGCCTGAACACATGTCTAACTCCGGACATTCTTGTTGCTTTGGACTTTAAATAAAAATATTTAGTTTTTCAATATAGTTTTTCAATATAGAATATATGCAGGTAACTTTATTGTTTTCATGTAATAATACAGGCAAGCAAATTGTGTGCATTATCAAAATCGAAAATCCCTCTCAACTCTGGGGGCTGATTTTTCAATAGTACTTTGGACTTGAATTTTTGAACTTTATTCTAACAATGTACTTGATGTGTTCGAACAGAGATTTAAATTTAAATTTAAGTTTATACTGATAAGTAAACCTATCCAAAAGTTACACTCCGATTTCTTTCTAATTTGACACAAATGTAGAAGTACAAAAAATATTTAGGTCATATTTTTTCATTTTGGTCCACTTTGAGTTTCACGGGCAGTTTATAGCTTTTTAATATTCTCACTCCTATCATCAACAAGTGCAACAAAAATTTCATAAGAAATAAAATTGAATAATTTTTATTTTGATAATTAAGAATATAAAGTCAAATGTATAAAATTATTTGTATAAATAATAAAAAGTTTAAACAAAACATGTAAAAAGTTGAAAAAAATTATTTATACAAATAATTTCTCGGTTTGGCCGAGATTCAAACCAATTTTGACTAATTTAACACAGATTTAAAATATTTTGGTTGGAATCTCGGCTAAAGAAATTTAGAATAGTTTGTGTCTCAGCTATGCCGATTTTGTTAAAATTATTTAATTATATCTTGTATTCAATTTTATTTTTTATGCATTTTTGTTGTATTTGATAATAGGAATGAAAACATTAAAAAGCTATAAACTGCCTGTAAAACTCAAAGTGGACCAAAATGAAAAAATATAACCAAAATATTTTTTGTACTTGTACATTTGTGCCAAATTAGAAAAAAAGTGTACCTTTTGGATAGATTTACTTGTGAGAGAAAAAAATGGATGATCTAATTAAAATTATAGTTACTTTTGGCCTCAATTATATTTTTTAGTTGTTCTAACACGAAAATGGTAGTGGTAATATACATATAAGATTATCATCACTAACACTGAAGTGGAATTTAATAAAAAGATAATTTTCTTGACTATATAAATATAATTATTTCTCTATGTGATTATATAGTTGAAAAAAGAAAATATCAAACATTTTTTTTCAGTAGTATTAAGAAGGCCTGAAGAATCCACTGATTTGGTAGATTTCTCGACTGATATTCACTAAACGGAAAAAATAACATGGTTAGCTCACACACACATCTAGTTATGCTAACTAGATCCAATATTGTGTCTGGTTAACACAACCAGATTTATATGTGGGCTAACCAGTTTTTTCCGTATATTTTCTACTTAGTTCAGTGAGTACTTACAAGTGTTGAATCCTTTTTTCATTAACACAAGACATCCTACATACATATACCAAATATATACACTGTTAAACCTGATGTGTTAAATTTTACCACATGATTAGGCACGTGTCCAGACATCGGTATTTCTGCTTTAAACCGAGAATATCTTGGTCGTTACAATTTGCAAGGAGGGTCGGAAGGAAGAGAAAAAACGACAAATCGTACGTACCCCTTTTGGTATATGATATCCTGCCAGGATAGCATCCGTTTGTAGAGTTCTGAGCGAGCCGATGGCGATGTGGAATACACGGAGGGATTCCTTGATGCAGGCCTTAGAGTATTTCGTCTGTTCGAGGATGTCGGGCGTGACGGGTGACGATTTGTCCGGCAAGAAAGACCGCACTTCTTCCCGTAGTATCTCCTGTTTCTCCGGATTATTCGCGATGTTATACAGCAAGGCGCCGGCCGTATTACCGGTCTGCAATAACGACGGTTATCGATTCGCCGCGTGACGGCGAGAAGAATAATTTCGTCCGCGGTACACACACACACACACACACACACACACACACGCACGCACACACGCACACATACACACGATCGAACTAAAACCAGAATCTCGCACTCACCGTATCGATACCGGCGGTGAACATATCGGCCGCCATTACGCGAGCTGTTCTCTCATCGATGCGCAGCAGTTTCTCCAGTATACTGCGATCGCCTTCGTTCGTGTCGGATGTTTGCTTGTTAAACTTCTCCTTGGCACGGTTGATATGCTTAATGACTATTCTGAAAGAGACGACAAACAAAAGTCGAAAATCGAGATCTCGCGTGCGCCGCGAAACAAGCAAATCGCCGGCGACGACGCGGCACGAGCGGCATTTGTTCTCTTTGCACGCACTTGTGTATTTCGTAATAACGCGCGCGGAATAAATTATGCGGCGTGATACGCAGGGAGGCAGCGTACGATCGATTAATGAAAAAAGCTATTTCTCCTCTCCTCGTTCCCTCTCTTTTCTTTCCTCGCCTCCCATGCGAGAAGCAATCGGCGCGGGATCAGCGGCGATCCATTATTCGAGTGTTGAGCTGCTCGTAACTGCTGCACGACGCGAGAATACTCGTTACCGGGAGATATATCAGGCATTACTGTAATGACGACAGCGAGTAGTAAGTTCTCGCGTGCGTTCACGAGACTTGGCCGTAATACGCTGACGTATAACTAGTGTAAGTTTCAATATTTACCCATTAAGCGTATCCAGCGTGCGGAAGAACTTCCTGAGATTCCGCGTATTGTATAGCTTCCACAGGGACGGCTGAATCTCCAAGCGGTACATGAGGTCGAACATAGTGTGCACGCTATTAATCACTATTTGCGCCTCCGAGTCCGTGGGAAGATCAAGCTTTAAGCATCCCAGTCGGCAGTCCAATGCGATCGCGCATATCGCTATTAATTGCATAACGGCAGATTATCGGTTGACGTTCTCGGTTCGGGCTCAGCGTTGACGCGCAATGACGAATTAACATAACGTAACGGCTGTGCTCTCGTTTGTCGTTTGCTTGAATGAACTGGAGATGATGGATCCGCGATTTCCCTTCGAATAGTATACGCGTCAAATCCAGAGACAGTGCGTTACACAACACGCCGTATTTTGCCGCGGCTACTCCCTTAAAATGAGCTAGTAAAAATGTTTCTGATTGAATCGATAAAACGAGCACTTCACCGATAATTATCGTTGTCATACTTTGTCTGCTGCACTGCCTCTCTGCGCAGACTAATTGTTCGGAAAACGCCAAAGTGCTAATTGATTAGTTAATTTATTGATTGTATACAGTATATGCATATACTTTGTCCGCTGCGTTGTTTGTCTACGCAGATTAATTGTTTGGAAATGTTATTGATGTTAGATAATTACTAGATCTATTATTAAACCTTATTGATTATAATTAAGTAACATGTGATAGGTTGCTATGTAACCTATTATTAAACCTACTAATTACCTAACGTCAGTAACATTCATTATAAACAATTAATCTGCGCAGCAAACAATGCAGCGGACAAAGTGTACGCTGTAGGTGGTGCTTTTTAATTCTTCAATCCGGTTTTTTAAACATGGTGTGCTGAAACATTTTCAATTTCAGATTCGTAATCAACGGAAAAATAGCTATCACAATCGCCTTTCGCATGTCATTTAACATGAAAAATATTTAAAAATGTCGTACAGTGTAATCAGCGAGTATTCATCGATTTTCGATGGAAACACTCCCACTTTATTGCTTCATTTTATATTTCACTGATTTTGGCCAGTGGAGGGAAAATTTCACTGGAAAATCCGTACGCTGCAAATTCGTTATACGCTGTATCCAATCCAACTTTCCGCGTTTGTGGCGATGGAATTACCGGCCTCGTTCGATTTGTGTGCACTGACACTGTCTGTGTTTGCAAACTGCATCAATGATAGAAACAGTCGGTACTATCAATCGATTCTTTCAGCGAGATCTTGCTGATTGTAGCGTTATATTTACAATTGAACCATCAGTTATAAGTATAGCATTTTAATGAAAGACACACAAGAATGATTGTACTTTAGAGAATATTGTCGCGATTGCGGCTCACATCGATATTATATTGCCTAGTCCATTTTCGAAAACAACATTGAAACATCGCACATGGGACGGAAATTTTCAAAATTGCGACTGATGCAATAAAAAAGATTGAATGTATTCTCTAAATTATACATAAACTAAATTTTCATGTTGTGATTTGAAATAATATAAACATTTTGCATTTGTACAGAAACGTGAAAGTGCATGAATTACTACATTTCTCGTGCTTTTTATATAATTCTATTTTGTTGCTGAATATTTCAAATTAAAGAAGAACACAATGCGAAAAAAGGCTATTGCTATCGAAAATATTATTGTAGAGCTTGTAAGATATACGATTAAAATTTGTTTATCTTAATAAGCAATAATTTAAACAATATCTCCTTGAATTCTCCGTTTGAGTCAAATTTTCACATTTAAATCAACGTACAGTTTTTGGAATCTGTTAGAACCACTTGAATTGGAATAATTTCAAGAGAATACACATTGTAGATTAGTTATTATGCGATAATTTTGCTGTAAGATGCTATACGTTCCCAGAGTAACCAAATAATTTGCTACTCGTCTGGTAACAGATGCTATACGTTCCCAGAGTAACCAAATAATTTGCTACTCGTCTGGTAACAGATGCTATACGTTCCCAGAGTAACCAAATAATTTGCTACTCGTCTGGTAACAGATGCTATACGTTCCCAGAGTAACCAAATAATTTGCTACTCGTCTGGTAACAACACGGGCATAAATAAGTGTAATAATGTTGAAATGCTATACTTGTGACTGACAGTTTAATTACAAGTATAGCATTGTAGTCAGTAATATCTCGCTGAAAGAATTAGTTGATAGTAGCTACTGTTCCCATTATTAATGCACCTCTCGAATACGGACAGTGTGTCACTGCACTGAAATTTTACTTTCACTGGTAAAAATCAATGAGAAATAAAACGGAGCAATAAAATGGGAAAGCGTTTTAATAATTATAACTACTACTAATAATGATATTTTATTAAGATAGGGAAAATCAATGGATACTCACTGATCATCGGTGAAACAGTCCTGTTATTGATTCAATCGAAAACATTTTTATTGGCTCACTTTAAGGGAGTAGCGCTCGCGCGCGTTTACTCACACTCGAGGCTCCATTTTGACAGCTCGTTGCAGAAGTCATCGGGCAACTCCAGGGTGTCAGGATCCCGTAACGTTCGCATTATCTCCATAAAATCGCTGGTCACTCCGTTAATCTGCACGACGTGCGCCCTGACCGTTCGCGGTTGCATCATGTATTGGTTGACTTTCGTGCGGAAGTCTTGCCATGATTTTCCCTGACTGAAAGCGGAAGGTGCGCGCTGATGCATCATCTTCCCTTCGCTCAGAAGAAGATGGTGCATCGTGCGTAATTTACGTAGGCCTGGTATTTGGCCTACGTAGTTCTCTGTAAACTCGTCGGACTATCGACCGTATAGGACATAGACAGGAGGTACTAACGAGAGGGAGTGAGAGAGAGAGAGGAGTGGTAGAGAGGGAGGGGGAGGGGTGAGAGAGAATGACGTCGAGGAACAGGGTCGGTGGGTTGCTTTGTCAGCTGGTGTTCCCGTATTTTGATGAATTTTCGGGATATCGACGACGTTCGTGCTTCACTGTATATCGCTCGTATCGCCAGCCGCGACACACCGAAAACATCTATATTTATTTGCGTTAATCCACAGCCTGTCGTAACAGCCGCGTTTTAATCTAACAGTTCGGCGCTGCGTGACTCTATTCGGTATTAGCCGCAACGGACATGGCGATTTCGGTTTGGTCGAAAAATTCTACACTGACGTTCGGTAGGTTGAATTATAGAGCACGTGCTCCTTGCATTCTAATGTTTTCAATATCATGGTAATAGACTGGGAATATGAGGGAACAGAAGAATCCGGGAGGTAGTATTCCGTGTACGCGTGCTGATAAAGAATGGAGAAACTTTCTTCCATTAATTATGTTTCTCGAAGACGCATTACTGACCCTGTCGCGAGACCGACTTGATCGCCATAGAATTCTGGCCTGCTCATGCGATAGTGATGCAAGCTCTCCATGGCTAATCGCATCGGCCAGGTGCCTTCCAGTCGGAACATCATTTGGCCTAATTCCGGAGTAAATAAAAAAACACACGGCCGTCGACCTGGCAAACCTTCCAGCTTGACAATATCGCCGTATTCTTCGCGCAACATCCGCAGCTGTGCATCTAGGTTTTCCGTATAGTATTTACCTGCAGATTTTATTAAATGCGTTAATTAAACATAACAACGGTCAAGGTTCTATGCGTGTGTGCAAATCGAGCGGCAATTATATGTGTATATATATACATGCATATATATAATATTGAATTGATTTACAAGCGCGGATTTACGAACAAAATTGAGAAATGTATTTTATTCTTGTTGAAAAGGATTTTAGTCAATAATATATGCGCCATTCTGTTCGACAAATTTTTGTCATTTTCCGCGAAATTTCATAATTCCCCTCTCGCAAAACTCTAGTGCTCCTTCGCGGAAGAAACGTTCTAAATGTTTTTTCACGTCTTCTATATATATATAAAAAAGCGAAGTTTATACCATCAAGAGAGTTCTGTAATAAACAAAACAGATGATAAGGAGAGGGGGCAATATGTTAAATATGGTGGATAAAACAAAATATCTCAGCCAAACTCTAACAGTTTTTACGAAAATAAAGAAGAATAATGCACTACAAAAGCTCATTACTGCCTTATATTTTCAAAACACAACAAAGACAATTTCTCTAAACACTATCACTTACATCATAAAATATGCTCTAAAATGTCGAAGTATAGACATAAATGGCCAAAACTGTATGGTATTATTTTTCTAATGTCAACAAGCGGATGCCAACTGACAAAAATTATAGCACGAACTTATGGATCAACTCGTGGTTTCGTTGCGAGATCACTATGCCTGAAGCTACGATTTGATTCTAACAGATAATCTCACGGTGAAACCGCTGTGCTACAAAGGGTTAAGCTAGTAATACAGAACACGCGAGATCGAGCACGGCTGAATAATTCCATCGTGATATAATTATACGACGTTCGATTCCCGCGCATCCATAAATTTAAATCTGGACTCGAGCACACGACCGATAACAATAAAAGTTTCAGTGTCTCTCACGTTGTCTGCGAGGTTCTTACCTATGTACGGCAGAAATTTAAAAACGTTGCCGACCATAAACGACTTCTTCGGCCCGGGAATATCCTCGTAAGGTCGCGTGGATTCACCGTCCGCGTTCTTGATCTCGCAGCGTTCGATCGCGGGCGCGATCGACCTGGCGCGACGTTGCATTTCCGATAGTAAGCGCGAGCCATTGATCTTGCGAGCGATTAAGCCGGCACGCATCATGTTTTATCGAGGCACTCTTGACTTTGTCCTCCTGTAAGAGTAACAACGAGTAATGTCGCCACTCATTTCGGGCAAATTCGACGTGTAAGCTGGTACGCTTTATGGCGACGAGTACGCCAGGCAACGTCACTTAGCGGATATACGACTCGGAATATTAGCTTAGGGTAATGGAAAAATACTTCGCGAGAGAGCGTGGAAATTTAAGACGCGAATAAAGCTGCCGATATCGAGCCGTCGCGCCGCCGATATACGGGTCGCTGTGCTGAAAAATGAAGACCGATTGAAATTTTAATTTCGAGTAAGAGAGATTAAAGTACTTCGCGGCCGGAGTAATTACTACTCCCCCCATTCCTCCTTCTCCTCCCTCCCCCCCGACCTCAGGCACACGGAGCCGACGGAGCGAAATGTTAAAGACGAGCGAGCACGCGCGCGCGGTATATTTACAGCGGTTGTCGTCCTGGTGCCCGGCCCTAACGTTCAATTCGGACGTCGTACAGGTTGTAAAGCACGATAGAGGGATTTTCCAGGAAATATCGAGTTATGGTCCCGGAGAGACCGGGCGCTGGACCGAAACACGCGAGGCGCCTCTGTATATCGACACACGTCAGCCCGCGTTATAGCGCGACCCACACGACGAAGGAGGGAGGAACGCTCCGTTTTTCTCCCCCGCGTTTCGATCCCGACATTTCCCGCTTTAGTTTAACCCTCAGACGTCGGAAATACTTTCAATCCGCAGAGTGACGAAAATAGGTCATACTTCACCCCCGTGGCCGCCCCTTGGCACGACAGGTTTGTTATTACAAGTTCCAAATACGGGAAACGCCTGATGAAGCAACTTCCGCCGTGTAACTTTTGCCGGCCGGATCTTTTCTCTTTCTCTCTCTCTCTCTCTCTCTCTCTCTCTCTGCATCCACTTTCCTTCCCGCCCCCTCTCTCTTACGTTCTCTTTTACTTTCTTTCTCTCTCTATCTATACCATCAGTCTATCTATCTTCCTCTACCTTTGTCTTTTTCTTCGTTGTATCGGAGAAAAGTGACGCAGATTTAAAAAGGCTGGGAGGTACGAAGCGCCCTTAATAAGTTGCGGTGGCCGAACCAGTCAGTGTCTCTCCAGGAACTAAGATGCGCAGCGAGTTTTCTTTTTGTCAGTACTTTATCGGTAATTATATTTCGTTGTACACGTGCAACGTGTAACTTAATACGCGGCACACACTTCGCCGGGATGAGCCGAGAAAGGTACAAAAAAGACTTCGTATCTCGGGTTACGTCGAATTCGCCGGCAAGCAACACAATGTTCACCCTGATCGTTCCCTCATCATGACATCGTTTTATCCAAGTAACATATCACTATTATACACACAATATGGTCACAATTATATAAACACGATTCGTATTATTACAAGTCTTCGTAATAGAATAAAAACAAAGAGCTTATAGAAGCACAAGAAAGTGGTAGTGCAAAAAAATTTAATATTAATATGTACTGAAAGTAGAAACGTTTCGGTCCTGTGTGCAACTTTCTTCAATAGTGTATCTATGTGGCCAAAACGATTGCATTTCCAACTGTCAAAGCTATCAAAATGGATTGATGTGACTTGTTACTACACTATGGAGACATTCCTCAGTGCTCAAAGGTTTGGTAATCCCAATTGGAAAAATATCAAAAAGTGTAATAATTAATCGTAACAACATCAACGTTGAGGTAAAAATAGATAAAAATGTATACCTTCAACCGTCGACAAATTTAGGCAGTCAGTATCGCGTTGGTTACATTAAACTTCTTTGAAAATGTCACATAAAGACATAGATCACAATCTATGCGATGCACTTGAATATGATAACTAACGTTTAAATATTGTGTGTCAATATAAATCAAACACTGAAATCAAACGATCATAGAATGTATTATATTCAAAATAAATAAATAGCTGTCGTCTAAGAGATCAAAAGTCACTCTGCAGATTTAAACCATTAATTTATTTGTTAATATATAACATCTCAGAAATTAGTCTCTTTTTGTAATTTGGTCCTCAATCCAAAATTTCGCATCCTTTCAATCAAAAAGTGTGTGCTCATAATCGATGCAATGATTTTGAAACACCGATAACTCCTTATTTGGGTCAAGAACAAGTTTTTTATGCTCTTTGATGCGGGTTATCAACTTGCAGCGCGTCTATCCAATATAAGAGGCTCAACAGTTGTTACAATTGAATTTATATATGATATTCAATATCATTTTTGTTAAGAATGTCTTTATGTGTCTTAACAATGATGTTCAGTTTTTTGACAATGATTCTATAACGACGTGAATAATAACAATTTTTTTCATTTTATGAATATATATATATATATATTTTTTTTTCTTTAAGTCTGGCGTTATTATACTGATAATTCTCGATTTCTACGAAGAAAAATGCATAAAAAAATATAAATATAAATCGATACCCGAGCGGTCGCGAAACCCTTAAAAAGTTATATTCTCCTTTCGACAATCTATATATTTGTGTATCTTAAAAATTAAAGATCTTGACAGTACAATTCTATGTTAAAATTCCACGAGTGTCCACGTGGAAAGAGCACATAGATATAATTTTTGCAGATATATGCTTTTTGTTTATATATGAGAGCCACGTTTTTAGACAACTTTTTTCACAGTTACGATCATTTCGCTGGGCACCTAAACACGATATATATCGATGTATTCGATGTTAAGTTCGATCTTGGTAATAATAATGAAATTTCAACAAGTATAATAATGAAATAATGATAATAATGACATTTCAATAATTTCAATAATAATGAAATTTCAATAATTGAAATAAGAAATTTCAGTTCGCCGGTATGATATCAACGCAGCGCTCGTATCTCACGTATGATTCCTTTGCTATTTTCGAAAAAAAAATTACCTCTCCGCGTTTTATGAGTTATTTCAGTCCCTACTTCGGAAGGAGATACTATTGGGGTGAGGTACGTCGAAATTGCACGTCGTATATCGAATGTCAAATAGCTACACATGCCGCGTGAGATATCTTCGGAACGATCTTGTTATTATCTCCTTATCTCCTCATAATAATAGGATTTCTTCTCACTATTAGACAGAACTATTTTAACAAGAAAGAAAGAGAGAGAGAGAGAGAGAGAGAGGGAGAAAGGAGAAGAAGGGGCAAGCCGATAAATACGATGTTATTGTGATAAAGCGCTATGATAAAGCAACGATAAATGTATAAGCAATATGCCTTGCATGGCCCGATCTACAATAGATGGAGTAAGGAGTAGGAATAAGATGAAATGGAAATAATTTCTTCCGCTTACTCCCTTACTCCAGCTCTTACTAATTAATTCAGGCTTACTTCGTGTGATGTAGACGGGCAAACTTTTATTGGAGTAAGGGAGTAAGCGAAATAAATTATTTCCATTTCGTCTTATTTCTACTCCTACTTCTTACTCCATCTATTCGGGCCTAAAAGTCGAGGAACAGCAATTATTTCAATTTATCGTGACCTATCGAATGCGCTGCGCGCTTGTCATTTCCGTATAATATTCGATGTATGTCGCGAGTAATTTGATGAGAGAATTTTTACGGGATAATAATACCATCGTGATAATAATACGACCGTCGGTCACGTCAAACGGACGACTCAATTATTGCAGCGATATTCTGTCAAAGCGAATACATTTGCGAATAAATGAATGCCCGTATATGTCTCCCGGATATGATTCCATAAAAGCTCCTGTGGGTTGACATGCGCGGAATTGAACCTAATACGCGTGCATTGTACGTGGTGCATACAGCGAACAGAATTGACCTTAGATCTCGCTCCCGCGTCTTATATGTTCTCATCGCTCTCTGAAAGAAGCATACCTCTTAATATCTCAAGCAATTCCGATGCGTATGCGCTATGCATTTCATATTTCACAATTGTTGCGTACGTGTGAGAGAGCGATTCGCCCACTTCAGCAGTAAGCTGTCTGGCACTCGCCCACTAAATCACTCTTTCAGCTTTTTCAATCGTCTTACACGTCTTCCTTTATCCTCTCTTTATTTTCTACGATATCAAACGTACGATCGATCGAAATTATGCAGAGAATCGATTATGAAGAGACGATGTAGCATTTATTGTTTGCATCGCGGTTGATAACCGATTGTAACAGCAGTATTGACAGCAAGTGCTGTACGTTGTGTATTATTTGCGCTCTCGCATAACAAATACGTACGTCAAATTGACACAAAGCGCACGGCTGACTTACCGTAAAAGGTGCGTTCGCGTGCCGATCGTCGTACGAGCGCGTCCTTTTGACACTCACGTATCTTCGTTCCGTAGGTTTCCGGGCTCTTCCTGTCGATGCTGCCTCGTCTTTCTTGTCTTCCTCGTCGACGACTCGTTCCTCATGCACTGACTTGTCGCCGCGAGATCGGTCTCGCTTTTGAGTCGCAGCTTGTGCTCAAGTGCGTATCGAAGCAAGAACGAGGATATGTCCTCACATTTTCAAATGTGTAAACAAGTTCGAGTTTATAATATTATCGCTTGTGCACTATCACATCTTACGAATAGATAAAGCTCTCGAGATAAAGCGACACGCGTCATGTTACAATGCTCATTACAAAGACGATGAGTCGCGAATGTCACCAAACCGCACTCGGTACATTCGCACTCAGACCGGAGATTAGTCCGAATAGTGTACTCGACGAACTCAGGGTCTTTTCTGCTGCTTGCTGTACGAGGAAAATGCGACACTCATTCAATCAGCACTCGCAGAGGCATAACAAGCCGTGACTGCCGAAGTGTAGGTATACCGCTTTTCGTAATCGGACAATTAATGGTTCATTGATAATACCGTCCAATTGGCTTCTAAAGAGCGCAAACGTTGACTAAGAGCGAAAACATGTCGAGCGCATGAGATTTAAACCGTGGGTTTCCGCGGGAGCATACTGTTCGATTAGTTATTTATCGTAATTGGCCGATTTCCGCAACAGGCTACAGGGGAGGCCGGGTCAAGACGGCCCAGGGGTCATATTAGCCGCACGTTTGACTCGTGTATTTATTGTGAAAGTGATAGTGGAAAAGGGATCGCGGAATGTTCCTCTTAGGACTCGGGTACTAGTTCTATGTCCTAAAAAGAATATTTCGTGATCCCCTTGCCATTGTTGCTGTCACAATAAATACACAAACAAAACATATAGCCAGGATGACCCTTGAGCCGACTTGAGCCGGCTTTCTCCTATTGCGAGAAAAAAGGTAGAAACGTTGATAAAATATTAATTAGAGACGCGTTAAAAATGCAAAACAGGGGCAAGCCAAACAGATATACGGATATAAATGATGGAAATATTGAGCAATTCATGTCTATTTTCGTGTGATATTTGTAGCTTGTTATTACGATGGCATTTTTTAAGAAGAGAGAAATATTGCGAGATGAACGTTGGCGTGTCTGTACTTTTCCGAGAGGTTATCGCGTGCATTTATATGAAATGCGCATTAGACCTTCAATCTCGGGCAGCGTGAGCTCGCAATTCGTAGTTAGCACGCGACGCGGAATAAAATGACTCTGACACTTTGATAATGTAGACGCTACTATACAAGTTTTCGCCCGAGAAAAGGATAATCTAAGGGCCGCGCGATATAAATTCCCACCAGACACGCGTCCCACCTTGAATCCCATCAGAAATCGCGTGCTAAAAATCTGGGACATTTCTCTCGCGTTTATTTCTGTGCAATTCTTTCTTTATACAGTAATTTTATTTATGTGCTCGCGAACCTTCATTTTCTTTTAAATTTTCCTTTCTCAAGAGGTCCGATGTTAATTATTTTCACGTCGCATTTCATTTCGCAGAGTCATTGTTATTTAGTCTTTCGCGCTAACGCTTGACGTTACAGTTCCAATTACAAACGCGTACGTTTACTTTATACTCTACACGATGCACGTAGAATCGTGTGTTGAGAGTTTACGCAACGCTTTATATTTAAGCGACTTTTCACTGCAAACATTGAAAATCATAGACTCTGGGAAATATAACAGATGGACTCTCACGATAAATTATATTACGATACGAGACAGTCGGTGATGGAAACTTTACATCTCGTTTAATTACATCGATGAAGCAAATATACTGTGTTGAATTAACAACAAAACTGCATTTACATCATATGGTACTGCAAACTCTCTGCTATATTCATATAGCGAGAAATTTACGAAGAGTCTCATTCAGACTTTGGTATCACATTGCAACGTTGTTTGAAACTAATCTTGATAATTTCTTCCGTATTTCTATCTTATCATACCGTGTGATAAATATACGAGTGCTAAATATAAGCCAATCATAACGGATGTGACTTGTGAGTCGAGTAATATAGTTGCTGTCAAAGTTGCATGCACTTGTCTGTTCGGGATGTATTAAGGCGCGCGCGTGTATACATACACACAAACACATGAGACGGCTGACGTGCTGTACAATCAATTTTTGTCGATCTATTCGTCGACGTAATCGACAATCGTGTGTATCTCGCACGTAGTTGCGATGGATAATTCGTGAAAAAACAGTCCCAAGGGACGTACACACACGTTAGGTACGACCGGGCTGATTGTAAGCGCGTGAATTCGCTCGTATGGTTCCTCATTACTGATCTTCACGCCTCCTGTTAGCTGGAGCGTGAGGACCGGAGGCGAGCGAACACCCGGTACATATATCGATACCTCGAAGCGGCTGAGACTCAAATTTGTCCGGTCAACGGCGAGCCGGACGATATCGCTTAGTGCGGTGGCAATCGCACTAAGAATCGGTACTGTTAAAATAGCGAGACTGAGTATGCCTTTGGTATCGACGTTGTACCTTCGATATCAGATCGAAGTTTATCGAGAAGAGCGGAATGAGAAGTACAGCGCGGCGGCGTTCGAGCCACGGAAAAGGAAATTATTAATTCGTTACGGACGGATAATGTCGCCACAGAGACGGCGTACCTTACTATTCGTTTTCATTAACAAGTTGATGCACTGCTTTCCATGCCGCACTGATTTCCATCAATTATTGCCAGGCTGGAGCAAAGTTCGAATAATCAGAGTAAATTACGGTAAATAAATATACAAATCACGACAGACATATTTGTTAGCTCTTTTAATTGGCTATTTATTGGCCATTAGATATTCAAGTCGTTATATGGGATTGGTCTCACATCTTATACGTCTTATACGTCTTATACGTCTTATACATCTTATACGTAAGTCAATGAGACGCGGTAGGTAGTACCGATTGCCGGTTAACCCGACGGCGACTAACGTGTCAATGGGTTCCTGCAGGTGAACCTCATTCATAAATGTTTAAGTATTGCGAGCAGTCCCGTTCATGAACTCGAGGATCAACGGGAATCAGCTCTCTCGCGTTTATTTCTGTGCAATTCTTTATTTGTAATTAACTTATAATTATAGTTACTTTATAATTGATATAATTTTATTTATATGCTCGCGAATCTCCAGTTTCTTTTAAATTTTCCTTTCTCAAAGAGATCCGACGTTAATTACTTTCACGTCAGTGTTTCATTCTGCAGAGACATTGTTATTTAGTACCTTTCGCACCAACTTCGCTTGACATTACGGTTCCAATTACAAATACATACGTTTACTTCATAATACACGATGCACGTAGAATCACGAGTGTCGAGAGTTTACACAACGCTTTATATTTAAGCGACTTTTCACTGCAAACATTGAAAATCGTAGGTAACTCTAGGCAATGTACCAGATGGACTTTCACGATAAATTATATCACGATAGTCGGTGATGGGAACTTTACATCTTGTTTAATTACATCAATGAAGCAAATATACTGTGTGAAATTAACAACTGCATTTATACAACGTACAGTAATACAAACTTTCTGTTTATACAACGAGAGATTTACGAAAAGTTTCATTCAGACTTTCGTATTACCACCTTAGAATATCGTGCACGGGGATGCTGGATGCTGAAATGAAGAACAGCCGGCGGTGTCGAGATCGTCGTCGTGGCTGCCCACAGCGGCAGCGCCAGCACTAGCACCAGCACCAGCACCAGCGACGGCGGCAACGCCATCAGCTGCATCGTCGCCATGTCATCATCATCATCGTCAACAGCAGCAACAGTAACGGCTTGAGCAACAGGAACATCAGCAGCACAGCGCAGATAGACTGTAAGACGAAAGATGTACAGAAAATTTGGCGACGGACCAGGCAAGGGACAAAGTTACGTCATGTTGCTCAGCAACGGCATAATTTGAAGCTTCTGCGCCGGTCTGAGGCAGAGATCAATAGCGCGCGCTAGCAAGCCGGTAGTAGGTAGTAGGATGCGTGTAGCTTTCTCCACAGTGGCAGTCCAGGAAGCGAGCCTGGCGAGGTAGGACGCACGTTTACGAGTCGAGGGAGGGAGAGAGAGAGAGAGAGAGAGAGAGAGAGAGAGAGAGAGAGAG